ATAAGATCATTTGCTATGTCTGCGAGTCTGTTTCTGTTTTGTAGATGAGTTCATAGTGTCCTTTCTTTTCTTTTCTTTCTTTTTTTTTTATTAGCAGACTTAATTTTTTTAGAGCAGTTTCAGGTTCACAGCAGAATTGAGCAGAAAATACAGAGAGTTTGCACATAGCCCTCCCCACCCACACATATATACTCCCCTACCCTCAACATCCCTCATCGGTGTGGCATATATACGATCAATGAACAAACATGCACACATTATTATCAACCAAAGTCCATAGTTTACATTAGGGTTCACTCTTGATATTGTACATTCTATGGGTTTTGACAAATGCATAATGACAAGTAGCCACCACTATAGTATCATACAGAATAATTTCATTGCCCTAAAAATCTCTTGTGCGCCATCTGTTCAGTCCTCCCTCCCTCCCTCTCCCTAAACTCCTGGAAACCACGATCTTTTTATTGTATCTGTAGCTGTGCCTTTTCTTTTCTTTTTTTTAGATTCCACATATGAGTAACATCATATGGTGTTTTTCTTTCTCTTCCAGGCATACTTCACTTAGAATGACAGCCTCTAGGTCCATCCATGTTGCTGCAAATGGCATTATTTCATTCTTTTTATGGTTGAGTAGTATTCCATTGTATAAATATACAACAGCTTATTTATCCAGTCGTCTGTTGATGGACATTTAGGTTGCTTCCATGTCTTGGCTATTGTGTATAGTACAGCTATGAACATTGGGGTGCATGTATCTTTTTGAATTAGAGTTTGCTTCGGATATATAGTATTCTTAAAAGTATAGAGATGGAGAACAGAGTGCTGGTGGCCAGGGATTGGGAGGGAGGAGGACTGAGAGAGGTGACTGTGATTGTGGCTATAAGAAGATAGCAAGAGGCATTCCTCTGATGAAACTGTTCCGTGTCTTGCCTGTGGTGCTGTCCTGAGTATCCACATGTGATGAAATTGCACAATAGACACAAACGAGTGCAGGTAGATGGACGGGGTCTGAGTAAGATTGCTGGGTTGCATCTGCGTTGATCGCCTCCTGCTTGTGATACTGTGCTCCAGTTATGCAAGATGTTACTATTGGGAAATGGGGTGAAGGGTATACCGGATCCCTCTGTATTTTTTTGGTTACAATTGCATGTGAATCTACAGTTATTTCAAAATAAGAAGTTAAAAGCAAAATGTATGTTCTCTCCATTCCTCATACAGGAGAGAAAAACCCAGGCATACCTGTGTGTGTCTAATTTTAGGTTTTCTGTGTTGTTCGCTGACCTGTGCCTCCCCCTACAGCAGCGCGCTTTCTTACTGCTCTGTGGGAGTCTTAACATCCAGTACAGTGATTTACCACTTTATTCTTCTTTTTAAAAATTGTTTTAATTAGTCTATATCCTTGATCTTTCTATATAAATTATATAATAAACTTGTTTGTATCTATAAAAATCCATGCTAGGAATTTGATAAGAATTGTGTTAAACCTAATAGACCAATCTGGGGAGAACTGACATCTTTTCTATGTTGAACACAGGCCAGGCTGCACCGTCAGCCCTGGAGGGGAGCTTCTAACCCACGAGCATGATTTATGCCTCTCCATTTATTAAGTGTTTTGATTTCCTTCATCAGTGTTTTGTAGTTTTCAGCACACAAGTTCTATACATGTTTTATTAGATATGTACCTAAGTGTATCAATTTCTTAAGCAATTATAAATGGTATTATACATATTTTTTATTGAAGTATAGGTTTACATTGTGTTAATTTCAGGTGTACAGCAAAGTGATTCAGTTACACATACACACACACACATACACACATATATATATATATTCTTTTCCATTATAGTTTATTACAAGATGTTGAATACAGTTCTCTGTACTATGTAGTAGGTCCTTTTTGTTTATCTGTTTTATATACAATGGTGTGTATCTGTTAATCCCCAACTCCTAATTTGTCCCTCCCCTCCTTTCCCTTTGGGTAACCATAAGAGTCTGCTTCTGTTTTGTAAGTTAATTTGTATTATTTTCTTTAGATTCCACTTATAAGTGATATTACATGATGTTTGTCTTTCTCTGACTTACTTCACTTAGTATGATAATCTCTAGGTCCATCTATGTTGCTGCACGTGGCATTATTTCATTCTTTTTTATTGCTGAATAGTATTCCTGTGTGTGTGTGTGTGTGTATCACATTTTCTTTATCTGTTGTTGGTCACTTAGATTGCTTCCATGTCTTAGCTGTTGTAAATAGTTCTGCTATGAACATTGGCATGCAAGTTGGTATTATATTTTTAAGTTCTGTTTCCACTTGTTAGCCTATAAAAATGTTATTAATTTTTGTGTGTTGATTTTTACCCTGTAACTTGGCTGGCTGACTCATTAGTTCTAAGATTTTTATTCATATAGATTCCTTGGGGTGTTCTACGTAGACTGTCATGTCATCTGCACATAGGGACAGTTTTATGTCTTCGTTTCTGATGCGTATGCCTTTAATTTCCTTGTGTTCCAGCTACCTTCCTGTGTATGCCGAGGTGCAGGAGCCCTACGTGTACCTGCAGAGCAGCCGGGTGGCTGTCACAGACCTCTACCTGGGCGTGCCCGCTAAGGCGACTGTCACTCTCATCAACGGCACGCTCCTGCCCACTCGGTTCCACTGGGGCAAGGTGAGTGAGCCCACGCTGTCGGGCACCAGGTCTGCAGCCCTCAGCCCCAGAGGCCCAGGTTAGGGGACATTGCCCCCCAGGCACCTCCCAGAACAGATCCCCCCACAGCCTGCCCCTCTCCCCACAGTGCCCAGGAAAGCTGGGCTCCTCCAAGGAGCAGCACACCTGGTCCGGTTTTTCCTTGCTCTGGCCTCAGGATTCCAGTGCCCTGCCCAAGAAGGAGTTTCTGGTGCACACAGCTAGACTTCCCAGCCAGCATAGCCCGTGGCTGGTCCGCAGCACTGTTGTGGGCTGCTCCCCTCCAGGGCTGACTGTGCAGCCCGGCCTGTGTGCTGTGGGAGACGGGGCCATGCCTTTGTGCATCAGAGGCAGCTTCCCTCTGTTCCCCATCACCCTGGGACTCTCAGGGCCACTTGTTTAGTCCCCACCACCCTGACAGTTGTGAGGTCCATCCAGCTGGGTGAGGAGAGGAGAAGGGACCTGTGGTTTCTCCCCACCGGTGAGCCCCTGCCCTGCTGGTCTCACTGTGGGCCCCTAGCCTGCCAGCCTCCCCAGAGCACGCTGCAGTGCTGTGCCCCAGCCCAGTACTTGACCCAGCCATGTGTCTGCCAGCTGCTGGGGCTCCAAGCAAGCTCCTGCACGGCAAAAGTCTCCCCAAGACGTGGCACCCTGGGCCCCAGTGAGGAGCGCCAGCTCAGCCTGGAGTTGACCGCTCATACCCAGGTGAGTGAGGCGTAAGGGGCCTGCTTGACCGTGACTGGGGAGGCACCCTGGCTGGCTGCATCTGTGCCGGCCAGGAGGTCTGCCTCAGGCCCCCCTCCTGGTCTTGTGAGTCACATGTGGGTCTGGGGTCCCCCTTCCTGCTGGGCCTGCTGTCTAGGGACACAGGGTCAGGAAGCCTGGAGCAAACCTGGAGGTGTCCTGAAACCCTTTATTTATTTATTTTAAGAAATTTTTATTTTATTTTATTTTTTTAATTGACGTACAGTCTGTTTTCAATGTTGTGTTAATTTCTGGTGTACATCATAGTGATTCATTTACGTATGTGTATGTGTGTGTATATGTGTATATATTCCTTTTCATATTCTTTTTCACTATAGGCCATTACAAGGCCAAGGTATTGGATATAATTTTCTGTGCCCTGAAACCTGTTAGTGCCAACTTTAGCCCTCCCCAGGCCATTCTCTGTGGCTCAGCTGGGCCCAGCTTTCCAGCCGCCCGGAGGCGCAGAGCAGAGCCCCTGCCCACGGCAGGCCCTGTGCTGGGTGCCGTGAGGGAGGCTGACTGGCTGCCAGGTTCCTCCCAAGAGGGACACTGCTTCTCCTTGGCGCTGCCCACAGGCGGAACACGCTTAGTACTTGGGTGGTTGCTGGCTATCTGTTTGTGGTTCTTGTGGGGAAAGAAACTTCTTCCTTGCAGGGACCGGCAGACCCGGTCCCAGTTCCTTCCCAGCAAACTTGGGGACCGCGGGCTTTCTTAAAAAGCTGAGCCTGAGCTCCAGGGTGACAGACAGACGGGCCTAGGCCTGGCGCGCAGGAGACCTTAGCTTCATTGGAGTAAATGTGCAGCTTCTCCAGAGGTCTGTTTGGTGGGGCCTGCCCTCACATGGGCTTGCCCAGATGTTTGGAGCAGAGTCTCAGCCGGGAGCCCTGAGGAAGGGGACAGGGGCGGGGGGAGGATGTGGGCCACTAGGCCGGGTCTGGGGAGGGTGGCTCACTGGAGGGACTGGGAGCTCTGCCACAGAGATGAGCCTAGACTGAGGTCAGGACCTTTGTGTTGAGCCCCTACAGCAACCACCCATGCTGTGGAAGACCATCTGAGGCCCCTCTGCTGGGGCCTAGCTCTGGAGTGATGTGTCCCCGATGGGCTTTCTTACAGGAAGAGTTGACAGATCTGGCCCTCCCTTGTAACGTGTCGGGCATGAAGGAACCACTGGTTCTGGGCATTTCTGGGAAACCCCAGGGACTGCAGGTGGCCATTGCCATCTCTACAGAGGACCCTGACAGCAGGTGAGCCCGCGGGTGGGGCCGGGGCCTGAGGGCTGTGGCTGCCATTCAAAGGACCAACCAGGAAAAGGCCGCCGTGTTGCTGGGGCCCCTGATGACCTCTGTGGGAACAGACCCCTCTACCCTACCCCTGCCCTCTGTGTGTTTCCCCACACACTTGAAGGCATGGTGTCCAGGCAGGTAGAAGATGGCGGGGCAGGTCTGTGGCATTTTGTGGCCTCTCTTGACATCATGGGTGGGCAAGGAGGGTGCATCTGTGGGGCGGCAGCTTAACGAGGAGGGCTCAGAGGGTGAAGTCTGGTTTCTAGGCCGTTCTGGCACCCCCGCCCAGGGCAGCTCGCTGCGCAGGGCCGTGAGTGGCCTGTAACCTGGCATCCCCGGCACGGGGCAGTGTTCCCAGCACAGAGCTGCAGCAAGGCCACCCAGAGAAGCTCCTCCTGGACTTCGGCTCGACAGTCCCGCTGAGGACCTGTGTGAACCGTCGGCTCACCCTGACCAATTGCTCCCCAATCCAGACCCCTTTCACCCTCAAGTTTGAGTACTTCGGGAGCCTACCAAACAGCCTGAGCCAAAAGCCCAGCCTGTAAGTCTGGTTCTTCTCAGAGGCTGATCCTGGAGAGGATGTGGCCTCTGTGTGGTGCAGGTGGCCAGGGGCTGGTGGGCGTGAGCAGGGGAGGAGGGTTTTTTCAGGTAGACGCAGGGAATCCCAGAGAGGAAAGAGCTCTGCCGCCTGCCTCCCCGGCCCCGAGAGGGCCTGTGGGAAAGCCAGGGCTTGTGCCCCTTCTTCTCAGCTGGGCCTGCTGGGGCAGAGGGCTTCTGATAGACCAGGCAGTGCTGGGGCCTGTTGGGGGGGTAGTTACTGGAGGTGGAGGGAACCATGTGGGCAGAGATGTGGCAGTGAGGCTTGTTGCCAAGCTGTACCTTGAAACCAGCCACAGTGAAAGTATTTACACCCCAGAAGTTGGCATTTTACCAGCACACCACCGTGGATGCCTCACCACAAAATCTCCTAAGGCCAGGGAGCCCAACTTCGAAACCACTACCGTGTGTGGAGGGGCACCACTAACAGTCCCTAAGCCATTAATTTGCCCGCTCCAGGAAGTTCGTGTGTGCTCGCTGCTGGACAGACGTCAGCGGGAAGGGCTGGAGTGGCCTTTGCAGGCAGCCGAGCGAGGGATGGGGAGTGTTGGCTTGGTTTGCGTCCGGAGGTCGTTAGGACTCAGAGCCTGGGGATCGGGGGTCCCTGCCCCAGAGCCCTCCTGCGTTTGTTGGGAGGCAGTCCTGAGGCTAGCGGGTGGCCTATAGCTGGGGTACCTTGGGCGGTAGGGGTGCAGCAGGGCGAAGACCACAGGCGGAGGTGGAGAAGAGACCTGACCAGCTCTCCCGGGGGAGGAGCAGGCAGGGCCACCTTCCTCCGCTTGGCACCTGGTAGGATGGCGGTTGCCGGGGCGGCGGGTGGCTCAGGCCTAGGGAGCGGCCCTGATGGTTTGGTGCTATTTCTGTGTCCTGTCTGGTAAAGCCCCAACATGCCTCCTGTCCTGCTGAAGACGGCGCGGATGCGGGAGCTTCTGGCCCAGCGAGAGCAGCTGGGTAAGAGCCCCAGGCCGGGCCAGAGCAGGGTTTGGTGTGGCCTTCCAAGGACGTCGGCCAGCTGCTGCAGGGAGAGGACCCTGACCAGAGACACTTCTCGGTGTCTTTTCTACCAAGGTCCCTGAGATGGCCGTGGCCTTCCACCTCACAGGGCCCCGTCTTTTGAATGCGGCATCTCCTTGCTAGGGCTTTGATTTGGGATGAGTGGTGGCTCATGAGGGAGGGCTCCCACTGGGGCGCGGCCTCACCAGAGGTGAGAGAGGCAGCCCAGGGACCCAGGGCTCCCTGGAGGAGGTTCTGTTTAACCAGACCGAGAGCGGCTGTAAGGTTGGCTTGTCTGCTTAGGTGCCTTGCTAATGCTTGAGGGTTTGGACCTCATTCCTGCCTTGGGGTCCTTAATTCCCATTCCTGGTTCTCCCCCAGAGTTTATGGAAAGCATGTTGTCTCACGGAAAAGGAGCTTCCTTCTTCCCCCACATCTCCCAGGGCGTGCTGGGGGCCCGCCAGCAGCTCAGCATCAACATCACAGCCTGTGCGAACATGTGGGGCGAGTACTGGGACAACCTCCTCTGTGTGGTAAGGGCAAGCGGGGGTGGGGGTGGCCTGGGGTGCAGGCACCCTGGCCGTGACCCCAGCCTTCAGGTGCATTCTCCTTCTACACCTGGCCCTAAGACTCCCAAATTTCATCAAGTTGGAAGAGGCTGCCCACTGAGCTTGGGAAGGGCCTTTGCATCTGCAGCAACCACTGAGATTCTTGCAGGAGGGGTTCTGGGAGCAGAAGTGCCCACACCTTTTCCCATGAGGCTGGGACCACACTGAGGGGAGCAGAGGAGTCAGAGAGGCTGCCTTCCTAGGCCAGGACCCGAGATCTCAAGTGGGGATAAGTGTGGAGAGAGAACACAGCTTCTCAGAGCTGTAGCCTCGCCCAGATCTTGGTGCATTCATTCATCCTCCCATCAGTCCATTCATTTACTCGCTCATTCAGCATGAATTGAGCACCTACCATGTATGGGTTCCTGTGTGGTCCACTGGACTGTGGAGGATACAGGGATGAATAAGACAACAGATAATATAAGTAGAGAGCTCTTAGTTTTAGTATCCACACTAAACGTGAAACGTGTACAACGTCCAACACTATTTAGTTATTGCATAGAGGTTTTTGTGAACTATTTAGTAAACTGAACAGGTTAGTTACATTAAATATGGTAGATGTTTGCTTTAAATTGTGCTATACCCAATGACAAAGGATTGTTCACCTTAATATACAAAGAGTTCTTAACTAACAATAAGAGGGGCAAAAGCATCCCAAGTGGGCAAAAGGTTTGAATGGGCAATTGTAGAATGACAAATACAGATGGCCAGTGAACATGAAAAATAGGTCACCATCACTGGTAATTAAAGAAGTGGAATTAAAAGTCACACTGAAACACTAGTTTTCATGAGATGAACAAGGTTGAAAAGTTGTCAGTGAAAGTGCAGGGAAAGGGTGCTCCGTGCCTGGTGGGGCCGGCTGGGGTATGTGTGCTCCAGAGGCACTTCTGCACTTTGCTGGGGACACACGTTGAAAGTTGCCCCAAGGAAAGAAGTGGATATGTGAACCAATATCTTCGTACCAGGGCTCCTTTTCTTCTTAGCACTGTTTACAACAGGGAGGGTCAAAGGGAACAAACATCTGTCAGGAGAAGATTGGACAAAAACATTAGGCTACGTCCGTACGGCTGGGTTCCCCACAGCCCATTCAATGATGCTGTAAAGTTCACTAGAACAATTTTTAGACATTGTTAAGATAAAAGAGAAGATTACCAAAACAAAAGCACGCCCAGAATGCTCCTTGCTTGTATGTTTTATGTCCACAAAAATCAATCTAGACAGTTGTACACAGAAATGTTAACAGTGAGTCATGCTGGGGGGCAGGGTCGGATTATGGGTATCACATTTTGTTTTAAATTTAAAAAATTTTTATTACTTTTTACTAGCAGTTATTTCCATTTAAAAGACAAATGCATTTAATCAAAGGGGCCAAAGACCATCATGCTGGGAGATTTGTGTGGCTGAAGGGCTGAGCGGGAGAGCAGATGGAAGGGCAGGGCAGGGAAGCCAGGGCTGGGAGGTCAGGCGGCCCCAGGCCTTTGGGGGTGTCCGGGGGATGAGCATCAGTGGGGAGAGAGTCCTCGCCCTGCTGGGATCAAGCTGTGGAGACCCGGGTCTGGGTGCAGGAGAGGAGGACTTGGCGTGGAGGGGATGAGGAGCCAGGGAGTGCAGTGGCAGCCAGTGATGAGAGTGACAAAGGATTGGTGTCTGTTTGCAGGTGGGAGACCTGCCTCCAACAGTCATCCCAGTGCACATGGCGGTGGTGGGCTGCCCCATCAGCTCCCTGAGGACCACCTTCTACACTACTGACCAGTTCCAGAAGGAGCCTGTCATCAGGTACCCCACCCCCATCCTCCTCCTCTCATTCTGGAAACCCTCTGGCGTCCATCCCGGGCTGCCCATGCCAACTCGTTGCTACTGGCCACTTGGTACCACCCAGCAAGAAAGCCCTGGAACAGGGCGACCCTGCAGAGAGAGAGGCCTCAGGGGACAGGGCTGCAATCTGCACATCTCAGAGGGCTTTGCAGGGACAGAAGTAGCAAGTAGTCATTGTGGCCCAAGGTCAGGGCCAGACTCAAGGCCCCTCACACTGAGTTGGGATCTGTGTGGTCCGTCAGTGCGACTGGAGTGTTGACGTGGGGGTTCCTGGGGCAATGAGCAGCCCCGGGTCACAGTTCACCTGGCGCTGCAAGGGGAAGGCCTCCAGGCCTGGGTCTTGGTGACTTCAGGATAAAGATAGACAACTGTGGGGCCCCCGCTTTGCCCGAGTCCCAATCCCAGCCCTCCTCTCTGAGGTCACCTGGCCTGCAGGGTGTGCCTTGGCTACGGCTGTGCTGAACCCCGTTCTTGCCTCCAGGTTCGGCACCCAGGTGTCTGGAGGAGACACAGTCACCCGGATCCTGCGCCTGAATAATTCCAGCCCTTGTGGTGAGACACTCATGAGATAAATTGGGGCTCTTGCTAGGCTGTGCCATGTGGAGGCCTGGGCTGGGAGGGAAGAGGGGCTGGAGAGAAGCTGATGGCCCGTGACCTGGACCCAGGTGGCCTGTGGTACCGAGGGAGACCCCTGAGGGCCAAGGTGGGGAGTGACCATGCCCATGAGGGCTTGTCAGAGCCACTTGCATCCTTGAGGACAGGACTTGTCCTTGCCTGTAGGGCTTGGGGTCTCCCAGGATCCATGGTCCACAGATGCCCTTCTCTGGCCAGGTTCACCTTTGCAAAGGGACAGACACTTGCAGGAGACACCTTTTCACATCCCTTCAGCCAACAGCCCCTAAGGTACCCACCAGGTGCTGTGTAGGAGCTGGGGATACAGAGGTGGCAGGACAACAGGGGCCATGTGGAGAGGCTCTGTTCTGATGGGTGGGGTGTTGAGTGCATTCAGTGAGACTCCAGGGCTGGCCAGCGTGCTGGGGGCCGTATCAAGGGAGGTCAGGCAGAGCCAGGCTGTGAGCTGGGGGTGGGTGAGAACTGGGCGGGGGAGGCACTGATGGACCATTTGTCCTAAAGCTTGCTGTGGAGAGGAGAGGTGGCACTGGAGGGGGCGTCTGGCAGAGGGAAGCTTGTTCACAGTGGGGGAACCTGACCTTGCTTAAGTGCTATTGGGAAGCAGCTAGGGGAGAGGGGAGGTGGGATGCGGCTGGCCTGAGAAGCGGGGTGGGGGCAGGACTGAAGGTGGGGCGGGGGGCGGTGATGGGGTAGATGCTGACAGAGGTAGGGGCTCCGGAAAGGACTTCAGGGGCTTCTGGGAGGTGAGGTGGGGCCACCCAGTGAGTGTCAGAGGCCTTGGAGGTGTCAGAGAACAGGGAAGGTGTGACAGTGTCGTGGTGCAGGTTGGGAGAGAGAGCTGAGGAGAACGGGCAGGGTGGGGGTACCGTGTAGGTTGGGGACCTACTTATAGGGGTGGCAAGTTGTTCAGCATGTGGGGGACTTGCTCACTGAGGCCCAAAGGGTCAGTTCTGTTCACCCAGGGTTAGATTTTGCCCAGTGAGTAAATGGATGGGGGCAAAGAGACAAGAGAATCCTGGCAGGGCAGAGTTGACATTGCAGCCCCCAAAGGCTTGCCTGTTGGGAAAGGGACTGAGGGACGGAGGGGAGAAGGCAGGGTACGGGGGTTGGAGGGTCCAGGCAGGCGGCAAATAGGCCTGAAGGAAAGGGGGCTGTGGGGAGAGCAGAGGGAGCTGGATTTGTGCATTTGGATACGAAACCTTACCTTGTGATCTAGAGGGCAAGGGGTAATACAGCTGATAGCATGAGGCTGTGGACTTTTTAAAAAACAAGAATAGCATGGAAGCGGCATTAGAGAGAAAGCGAGGCCCCGAGTATGAGAGAACGGGCAGCCTCTGGGGAGCTGCAGGGAGGTGAGGGCCCGTGAGAGTCCTCCGCTCCTTCCTTATTCCTCGCCCTTCTCCCCCCACGTCTGCCCCAGACATCCGCCTGGACTGGGAGACCTACGTGCCAGAAGACAGGGAGGACCGGCTGCTGGAGCTGCTGGTGTTTTATGGGCCTCCCTTCCCGCTGCGGGACGAAGCTGGGAACGACCTCCTGTGCCCTGAGACGCCTGAGAGCAGCAGCTCCTGGTCCCCAAGTCCCTCCGACACCTCCGACTCCAGCCACAAGGCTGCCCAGCCTGTGAGCACGGGGGTGGGTGGGCGGGCTGCTGGGTGTGGCTGGTGGGCCTGGAGCCTGCGTGAGCCTCGGCGGCTCCTTGCCCACAGGCCGAGGGCAGCTCCAGTGGCAGTGTCCCACAGAAGGTCATCTCAGTCATCCTGCAGGGGCACGAGGGGGTGCCCTCTGACCACTTGTTCTCCATCAGCCCCAAGCAGGTGGTGAGTCGGGGCGGTGCTGAGGGCTGCCTGGAAACGTCCCCTCTGGGCAGGGGCACAGGCAGTGCTGAAGCTAACACATCTGTGCCAGGTGGTCCCTGCTGGGGGCAGCAGCACCATCCACATCTCCTTCACCCCTGTGGTCCTCGGGCCCGAGGTCCTGCACAAGGTGGAGTGTACTGGCTACGCCCTGGGCTTCATGAGCTTGGACGATGAGGTGAGCCCTTCTGGCCAGGGGAGGGACCCCACCACTGCCTCTCGCCTGCCTGGGTGGCTGGCTGCCTGCTCAGCTCGGGGACCCCCAGTGCTCAAGCTTGGGCTTGGTAGGTGGAGAGGGAGCTTCCAGGGAGGCGCCGCCGCCTGCAGGACTTCGCTGTGGGACCCATGAGGCTGGACCTGCACAGCTACGTGCGGCCCGCACAGTGAGTCTGCCGGGCAGCCTGGCTCCTCCAGCCCCCGATGGGGAGTGCCCTTCCTGCGCCCTGCTGGGGGCCAGGATGGGGGAGGGGAGGGGAGGGAGCAGCCGGCAGGTGAGCCCAGGGAAAGGCTGGCCAGCGCCAGACGAGCCCCCAAGGCCCAGCCGTGCCTGTTGCCGGCAGGCTGAGCGTGGAGGTGGACTACTGCGGCAGCATGGCTTTCCGGCACCAGGCCAGTGACCTCATCGCCGAGCAGCCCTGTTCTGGGGTGAGTGTGCTGCACCCTGGCCCTACCAGTTTACCTCAGATGTCCCCATAGGCCCTTCTGGAGCAGAGGTCTTACAGTCCAAGTCCCCACCAGCCCCAATCCGAGCCATGGGCTCCAGTGGGCAGAGGTGCATCCTCGGCCCCCCCACCTCTGCGGCTGCCCAGGTGCTGAGTGAGCTGGTGACCACGCACCACCTGAAGCTGACCAACACCACGGACATCTCACACTACTTCCGGCTCCTGGTCTCCAAGCCCTTCTCCGTTTCTCAAGATGGGGCGAGCCGCAGCCGCAGGCCTCCTGGGCCCGGCTGGAAGCAGGAGTGCGAGGAGACGGAGGCAGCGGGCCCCCAGCTGGTGCTCTTCCCGCAGGAGAACATGCTGGTCAGTGAATGGTTCTGTGATCAGTGGGCAGAGGTCACCTTCCCCCCACTGACGCGCACCTGTGTGTTCAGGCAGCGCACCTCCACGGCCCCCGCGCAGGTCTGTACGCAGACACAGGCACTGACGTCCAGACGCAAGCTGCACTCTGACCCACCACGCCCTGTGCATCAGGGCGCACCGTGTCCAGCAAACAACTGGCCCCCTGCACACGAGGCCCACACACGCAGCTACAGCCAGATGTATGAGCATGGACACACCAGCCCCCTCTCTGTCCCCTTGGCCAGCGTCCTGGTCCCACGGGCACCGCCATGTTGCACACACCCTCCCTTCTCACGTGCCCTCACCCAGGGTAGGAGCACCGTCCTTCTGCAGACATAAGGCACACCAGATCCCGAAGTGGTGTTCCCTCTTCTGATGGGGCATCCATAAGAGGATCTGGGATTTGCAGCGTTCGAGGTGGGAGTCCTGGGAATGCCAGGGCCTCTGGGTAGCTGTGAGCATCTGCCTCCTTGGGTTTGGGTGCCCCCCCGCTTCCCTCCTCCCTTCTGAGGGCCTTCTTAGAGCCCCCGCCGGCCCGGCCTCCCTCTGCACACTCCTGGCTCATCCGTCCACTTCTGTCAAAAGGGATTCTTCAGTGCAGAGGTACTGGGTCCCTGCCACGTCCTAAGCGCTGTGCTTGGTGATGCAGCTTCTCCAGAGATCCCATCATGGAGGTAGGGGAGACAGACCTGCAGCAGGGCACCCCTGACCCACTCAGCATTTGCTCCCCTCCTCGGAGGTAAACGGAGAGGTAGCCCCAGGGCACAGCCAGAGGTCCCATTCCACCAGAGCACCCATGAGACTACAGGGTTAGTTACCAGTAGTTATTTTAAAATCCTTTAAAAAATGCCTCAGGGAGCCCCAAGATCCCCGGAGAAAGGACATCCCGGAAGCACTCCACATCTCACCCTCCAGTGCTGACACTGCCGGGCCTCTGGCTCCTGATCAGAATTCTGTCGCAAACTCAATTCCTGCCCACACCTGTGCCTCCTGTTAGTGGCGGCCTTTTATCTCAGCAACCACCACGCCCCCCACCCCTTCCTCAGGCCAGAGCTCAGGAACCCCTCCTTCTAGGCCGTCCTCTCCCCAACCAGCCAGCCACGAGCCCTGCTGTTGCCCCCTCCTCAGTCTCTCAGCGCGTCTCCCTTCTCCCCGCACCCGGGTCTTGGTCTAAGACATGGGGTTCCAAGCATGGCAACATGTCAGTGGCCTTTAGAAAGCTTGTTAGAAACACAGGTTCCCAGGTGCTACCTCCAGAGAGGTGAAGGTCTGGGTTGAGGCCCAGGAACCTGTATTCCTAACAGGAGCCTTGGGTAAATTTGTGGAGGTAGGTCCACAGAACTGAGTTAGGGAGCCACATGTCTAAGCCCCATCCCGCTGGGCCTAATTTACACTTTGGCTCCCAAACTCCCTTGAGCAGCCAGGGTGACCCTGAGGAAGGCAAAGCAACTCTGCGTCCCCTGCTTAAATCCCTGCAAAGGCTCCTCCCTGTCCTCAGAACAGAGAGGGGCCTGACCTGGGCCTACAGGCCTGCCCACAGGCCTGGTCATAAAAGAGGGAGGGCAGCTTGCTTGTCATCTGTCCCTCTGGCCCCTCAGCTCCTGAGGGCGGGCACAGCCAGTGTTAGGGCGTGAATGCGCCAGGCAGGGCGGTTGGGGGTGCTGCTGGGCTGTTTGCTGGGCAGGGCTGGGTCCGCTTGGGCCCTGCGGGCTGAGCTGGGACCTTGCTGGGCCTGGAGGGTCTGTGCAGGGAAGGACAGAACTGGGTGGGGAAGCTGCCGCCCACCCCAGCAGCCTGAGGTGATGGCTCATGCACATCCGTTCAGGTGAACGTGTCCTTCTCGCTCTCACTGGAGCTGCTCTCCTATCAGAAGCTCCCAGCTGACCAGATGCTGCCTGGAGTGGCCATTCAGCAGAGCGCGAGTGGAGAGAAAGAGATGGTGTTTACTCAGAATCTGCTTCTGGAGTATAGCAACCAGACCACTCAGGTGAGTCTCAGGCCTGCCCCACATGGTGATAGGGGTAGGACCAGGCTGTGCTCAGCTCTGTTCTGCTGGGGTCAGAGGAAGACAAACCCTGAAAGTCTGCCCTGGAAGAGGCCTTGCATATGGAGAGAAGTGTCATTCATCCTTACCTGTCTTAGGAGCTCAGAGCCTAGTGGGGTGCTATAGGGTGGAAAATCAGGGAAGGCTTCCTGGAGGTGGTGGCATGTGAAGCCTGCACACTGTTTAATGGAGACAGAAGGGAAACCGGGCCAAGGGAGTAAATGGCCTGATGGGTGGGGATGAGCACCTGAGGGACACACCATCTCTTAGGCTTCTGTGGGACTTCAAACACCAGGTAAGAATACCAAGGGCCTTGTTCTGTGGACCCTGACAGAAAGTCACAGGGCTGTGGTGTGGAGGAGAGCTGAGAGGCCAAGGGAAAAGGTGAGATGGCCCACAGCTCAAGAGGAGCAGAGGACTGGACAAGGGGGAAGGCAGTAGGGCAGCCCGATCAGGGAGCAGACACCACAGAGCTGGGTCAGGGCAGGGGCTGCTGGGGCATTGGAGGGGAGCAGATGGCACCTTCCTCGCCCTTTTGCTGTGCAGAATCCCACTAGCACCCTCTGGCTTTAGATGCCAGTGCCGGCCCCCTTCCACTAGCTGCGGTGCTGCCTGTACGTGCCTCAGAAGCTTCAGGACTTGGGATCATAGGGCACCCGCGTCCCTGAGAGCCTGGCTCAGAGCCCAGCAGGACTGGACAAGGTCCCTGGGTCCCCACCAAACTAAAGGCTCTGCTCCCTCCCCTAGGAGGTGCCTCTGCGGGCCATTGTGGCCGTGCCCAAGCTGCAGCTCTCCACCAGCTGGGTGGACTTCGGGACCTGCTTTGTGAACCGAGGGCCCCGGGGTCCGGGAGGTCTATCTGATGAACCTGACGCGGCGTGCCGGAGCTACGTGGACCGTGCTGACCGGTATG